CCAGCCCCCCCAGCCTGCCGGCTGCAGAGACCCCGGACCCCAGCCCCCACAGCCTGCTGGCCGCAGAGACCGCGGACCCCAGCCCCCCTGCAGCCTGCCGGCTGCAGAGACCCTGGACCCCAGTCCCCCCAGCCCCAGGGGCTGCTGGCTGCTCACCTTTGGCGTCGTAGGTGCACTGCACGCCGCGCTCGGTGCAGAGGCTAGAGACAAGGAAGAAGGAGAGGCTAGTGTGTGGGGAGGCTGGTGTGTGGGGCCACCACGTGCCCTCCACAGTCCCACGATACCAAGGATGGGGGTAGCAGCTCCATCAGGGCTGCCCTGGGTGCTGCATTGTACCCCTGGACTGGGGACAGGGAGGCTGGCCCTGCCTGGGTCCCAGCAGTTGTCCCTCAGGGTCAGCCTGAGGTCCCGCCCTCAGGGGGCCCCTCTAGTCGGGGGCCAGGGAGGCGGGCGCCAGAGTGCAGCCATTGCCTCCCCGGGCGATTTTAACGGGCGTCCCTCCCGTGGGCCCTGGGGCTCCATCTCGGTCCAGCTCCCCCCCACACCCTCCCTGCACCCCTCAAGCCCGCACCCAGAGGCCGTGCTGGTTTCTGCCCAGAGGAGCCCGACTCCCAGCACTGCCTCTGGGCCTCTGAACATGGGGTGCTGGCCCCTGAGAAGCTTGTGTCACAAGCTCCTGGGCCTACACAGGACCCATAGCTGCAACCCCAGCAAGAGGGAGGCTCCAGCCCTGCGGCTCCCGGCCAAACCCAAAGCCAAGGCCAGGACCGAGTCCCCCGAATGCTCCAGGCTCCTCATTCCTCTGGCCAAAGGACTCACCAGGAATGGCAGTTCTTGTCCGAGGGCACCACCGTGCCGGGCCGGTAGGACTTGCCGTGCACGCGGCAGGGTGGGGACGGGGGCGGGGTCGGGCATCTGGCCACACACTGCATCTGCTCCTCATCAAAGATGGGAGTCTCTGGCGGGCACTTGGGGTAGCAGCCTGCGAGCCAGAGAAGCCAGAGTCACATCACACCGAGTGGCCGCTGCCTCGTCGAGGGCTCCACCCAGGCCCCAAGCAGCAGGCCTCACCCACAGCTCCCAAGTGTGCAGGAGGCAGGGGCACATAGCCTCCTTGAGGGGCCAGGAGAAGGCCACAGGCGGCGGAGCACAGGCCAGCCCCTCCCGGGCAGCCCCGGCCGGCCCCAGCCCACCTTCCAGGCCCCGAAGGCCATGCAGGCAGTCTCCACGGGGGTTCTGGCAGGTCCGCAGGCAGGGCGCCCCGCAGGGCTGGTAGTGCCACTCACACTGGCCCTCAGGGTTGTAGTAGTCACAGAACAGAGCTGCAGGGAGGGAGGGATGGCTCCGTGGGCCCCGGGCGCTCGCTCAGGGCGGCCTGCACCCGGGGCTGCTCTAAAGCCGCTTCCCTCCCCTGGGCCGTCCCGCCATCGCAAGATGGGGACAGTGGAGGGTGGATGCCACACAGGCGGCCGGCAGAGTGGGGGTCTCCAGCCACAGCACCTCCTGTGCGCCTGCTCCTGGCAAGGCTTTTCGGGGCTAGAGCTGGGCAGCTCTGCCTGCCCCTCTGCCCGGAAGGTTCTGCCACACCTGCCACCCCTCCACCGGCCACCCCTCCACCGGCCACCGCTCCACCGGCCACCCCT